GGCAGTCAACTGTTGCATATGGGTGTCCCATGTTTGTTATGTTGGAAAAGCTTAAAGCCCTTAAGCATTGCCTTTGAGATTGGAACTCTAATGTTTTTGGTGATGTTCACAAAAATGTCACTATTGCTTAGGAAAAACTTCATAATATCCAAAATATTATTTCTTCTAATGGGAATTCTAAAGAAAGGTTTAATGAGGAAGTTGTGGCTAAGAAGGCTGTCCTCGATGCTCTTCATATGCAAGAAACTTTCTGGCGTGATCATGCCCGAGTTAAATGGCTTACTGAAGGTGATCGTAATACTGCTTTTTTCCATGCTTATGCTCGAGATAGGCATTCTTCTTCCAGGATTGTTACTCTTTTGGATGGAAATAATGTAGTTTGTTCTCATACTGCTATTGTTGATCATGTGCTAAACTTTTATCGGTCTTTATAAATTCTCTATTCGCATCAACTGGAATTAAGGATGTTTGTGGTGTAATTACACCTATGGTTAGTGAAGAGGAAATTTTTTCTCTTTCTTGTTTAACTTTAGATGAAGAAATTAGAAGCGCTGTTTTTTCTATGGATCCCTCCAGTGCTCCGGGACCTGATGGTTTTCCTGGTTCCTTTTATCAGTCTTGCTAAGATATTGTTGGTTTGGATGTTATTGCTTTTGTACAAGATTTTTTTAAGCGTGGTTGGCTTTATCTGAATGCTAATTGCAACTTTGTGGTGCTTATCCTTAAAGTTGATGGGACTGCCACTATTACTCAGTATCAGCCCATTGCTCTTGCTAATTTTCTATTCAAAATTATTCCAAAGATTCTTGCTGATCGCCTCGCCCCAATTGCCACTCGCATTATTTCTCCTCAACAAACGACATTTTTAAAAGGTAGACGCATTTCTAATTGTATCGGGCTGGTTTCAGAAGGGTTCAATTTTATGGACAAAAAGGCTTTTGGTGGTAAAGTAGGCATAAAAGTCGACATCGCTAAAGCTTTTGATACTTTGAACTAGAAGTTTCTTCTCCATGTGCTTTCTAGCTTTGGTTTTTCACACATTTTTGTGGACTAGGTACATGTTTTATTACAATCAACTCGCCTTTCAATTTTGGTAAATGGCACACCGCATAGGTTTTTCTTTTGCTCCTAGGGGGTACGTTAGGGTGATCCTCTTTCTCCACTTCTTTTCTGTCTAGTGGAGGAAGCTTTAAGCAGAGGTTTATCTACGCTTTTTTCTACTGGACGAATTACTACTATTTCATCCCCACGAGGTTGTTGCCCTCATACTCATGTGTTATATGCTAATGATCTTTTCATTTTTTGTCGTGCGAATGTTAAATCTCTTTGTTCTCTTTGAAATTTCTTGGATAAGTATGGTTGTGCATTAGGGAAACTTGTTAATGCAACTAAGAGTACTTTTCATCTCAACTTATCCTTTTTTCATTGTAGAGCGCATGTATCGAGACACCTTAGCTTTTGTTTGGGTGTTGTTCCTTTCACTTATCTTGGGGTACCCATTTTTCATGGTAAGCCAAGGAGAATTCACTTTCAAACTTTGGTTGACAAGGCTAAAGCCCACCTCTCAGGTTGGAAAGGAAAATTTCTCTCAATGGTTGGACGACTTCAATTAGTGCAGTCTGTTTATCAAAACTTGTTTCTCCATAGTTTCTCAGTTTATCAATTGCCATCTTGCCTTTTAAAACATCTTTCCGCTTGTGCAAGGAAGTTTATTTAGTCAGGGATTTAGCTTCTCGGAAATTGGTAATTGTTGATTGGAGCATGGTGTGTGAACCTAAAAATGAAGATGGGCTTGGTCTTTGTGATTTAGCTTCCTTGAACTTGATGACTTTGTAGTTTTGGATGGGATGCTTTACAATCCTCTTCTCTGTGGGGTTCTTTTGCTCATCAACGTTTTCCCATTTCGCCTTCCAAAAAACAAAATATATATTTACGGTCTTCTATGTGGCGTAGTCTGAAGCGTGCTTTGCCTATTTTGAATAATAATAGTCGCTAGATTATTGGTGATGGGAGGTCCGTTTTCTTTTGGTTTGACATATGGTTGAATGAATCTATTATTAGCCCTTCTTTATCTTCGGTCATTTCACCTAAGGTTCTTCCTTGGGTTTCAGATGATATTGAAGTACAAAGTTGGTCTTTCCTATATTATTTTATAAATTTATTCCCTTCTATGGTGCAACAAATTTTACGTCTACCTTTGCCCTTAAATTTGGAGGATGATAAATTAATTTGGGAGCCCTCACCTACCGGGAAGTTTTTCCTTTTCTTCTAGTTATCAGCTTATTCAAAGGAAACGTAGTGATTGTGCTTAGGCTAAGGTTATTTGGCGACATTTGATTCCGCCATGACTATCTATTTTGGTTTGGTGGCTTTTTCATGATAAATTTCCTATTGAGGATGCACTTCAACGACGTGGTATTTCCTTGGTATCCATTTGTTGTTTATGTCATAATTCTAAAGAATCTACTACTCATATTTTCTTCGGCTGTCGAATATATAGGCAGCTTTGGAGGTGGTTAGCTTACCATTTTGGTACATCTTTGCCTCTTTCAAATTCTTTGGATGTTTTTTGGGATATCTATGTGCGTAAGCCCTTTTCCCAACAGTTGCATAATCTTTGAATTTTTGTGGGTCTTTCTACTATTGCTGTTATTTGGAAGGCTTGAAATAAGTTTATTTTTTATGGCCAACCACTCAGTTTTCATCGTCTCTGCATGTCTATCAATTCTGCGATTGTTCATGGTGGAAAGTTTATTCCTGGTTACTCTCAAGGTTTTAACACTGAAATCATCTTTTCAATGGGGATCTGACCTATCTCTCGCAAGGCACCTACTATTCTTCCTGTCCTTTGGTCTCCTCCTTGGTTTCCTTGGATTAAACTTAGGGGCTTTTCGATCTAGGTCCAAAAATAAAGGTAGTTTTTTAACTAAGTCCAATTATCCAATTACATATTTTTATACTAATTTTGCCCTTTTAGATAAAAATATTTAAATTCTTTAATTTTTGTATCATTTATTCAGTTTTTAATTTTGAATATTTAAATACTAACTAAAATATTATCTAGTAACCACCTAATAATGTTTACCTACAAAACCGATATAATTTAGTAACTACCTATTGTATAGGAAGAAAAATACTTTATACCAACAAAACAGATGTAATCTACCTACAAAACAAAAATAAACTACCTATTGTATAGGAAGAAAAATGCTTTATACCTACAAAATAGATATAATCTACCAACAAAATAAAAATAAACTACCTATTGTATAGGAAGAAAAATGTTGAACCTCCATGGCAAAACATTAGAATAGAAATATGATATAATATACCTCCATTAAAGGAACAAATACTAAACAAACAAAAAAAAAGGAACAAATACTAAGTTTCAGTTTACCTTTATGATACGCACAAAAATATAATAGAGCAAATATAATGCATGATACTGTATTATTGCTTGCAATTAATACTGTATTGCCGAACGAATATGTAAAAAAAAATTGTGAAAGCTATGTAAAAATTGAAATTGTCATGAAGGAATTTGGAGGGAGGAACACAAACTATCACCCATGAAAGATGAGAGAAGAAAGAGGGTGATTGATTCCATGATCTAACAAAGAGAATTGTTTAGATGAAGGAAAAAAAAAGGAGGGATGAAACGGACCGGGGGTTGAGATTTTATTGCTATAACTAATCCTACAATTAAGGGATAAGTTAAACCACAAATAATCATATAATTAAGAAATTTTGAATATTTACTACAATTTATAAGTCTAAGGGATAAATATGGTACAAATTATAAATAAGCTTACGTGGAATATCAATTATTGGACCTATTTCAATGCAGTGGACTAATTGTACTAATGGCTCACAAAATTGGATCTATATCAAATTATCCCTTAAACTTAATACAGATGGTTTATCTAAAGGAAATCCTAGTCCTGCTACTTGTGGAGGAGTTTTCAGGAATTGCCATGGTCATTTTCTTGGTGGTTTCTGCTAATGGATTGGTTATCGCAACTCTTTTTTTTGCAGAATTATCTGTAATTATTATTGGTGTAAAATTTGCATATCAACTGGGTTGGCATTGTCTTTGGCTGGAAAGCGACAGCTCTAGTGTTATTTCTGCTCTTCAATCGTCTGATTTTGATCCTCTATGGCCTCTTCGTAGGCAATGGCCTATTTGTGTGGACCGCATTCAGAAAATGACTTTCTACTCATCTCATTTACATCGGGAAGGAAATTTTGTTGCAGACAATTTTGCTAACATGAGCTTGTCTTCTCCAACTTTAACATGATTCTCCTCTACCAACGGCTCATGCTGCATTGTTTTTGGACTATGTTGGCTTGCTTGGTTACCGCTTCTCAAATTAATGTGCATCTTGGCATCTAGGTTTGTCTTACTTTCTTTCTTTTTTTTCCCTAACATTGTGGTGTTGCTTAACTTGTTTTACAGGTTTAGACCATTAGGTTTGGTTTCAGAGGGGTTAGGTTTCATGTCCCCTCCCCCCTTTTTTCTTTGTATCTCTTTCTACAAGAAAACATGGCTTAGGTGGCGACAAACATTCGTCACATAAACATGAAAATTCGTCACATTTGATTATATGTGACAAAAATCCAGCATCACTATGTTCGTCACCTATAGCCTATGTGACAAATTTTACATTCACCACATATTTTTAGTATGTGTGATGTCAAATTAGTCACTTAATAAATTTGACTGTGACGGAATAAGCGCCACAAAACACAAAGGTCAGTGACCTATAAGTTTATCACATAACAAATGTATAAATGAGGAATTTATCACCACCCAATCTGATCCTAGAATGCTTTGGTTGAGGATAAGTAAGACTGAAAGCATCACATATTCCTTTGGCATGTGGTTCAATTTGTGCCACGTGTCAAAATCGCAATTAGGTACAATTCGTGACGAACCAATTACCACTTATTCCCTGCTTTGTCATCTAGAATTAGAATTCATAACAAATATAAGGCAATACTTTGGTTAATCACATTTCATTGATCAATAAGTTAGGCTACATCCAATATATACACTAAGTGTATATCCCAAAAGCTATAAGCATCCTAACACCTCTAAACATATTGAGATGCTAACAAGATTCTAAGGCATTGAGTTGGTAACAAAACAAGTATACCGTGTGCATGTTTGAAACCAACAACAAAATACATAATATAAGTCATTAGCCATATCATAGTCTTTACTTCAACACAAGTATCATTGTCATTTGAAAGATCACCATCACTATCTCAGGTGCTTCTTTAATACTTTCTTCTTTAATACCATCCTTCTTTTTCTTCATCTTATCCTTACATAATAAAAGAGAAAAAAAATAAACATTGGTGTCTAGAGAATAGCAGGTGCATTGAGATTTGAATAACAACAAAAGAAAAGAAAATAAGAATTGAAGAAATAGTTACAGTAAGAAGAACAAAACATAACAGACGAGCCTATCTAAATTACACAATGAGTTTTATATGTACTTTAATTTCATTACCTTGTGAGCATTCCTTGCATGTTGGATGAAATGGTTTTGCCCCTCCCTTGTGGTAATACTTTTATTTCTTACGATTATATAAATTTTGCTTGAAAACATCCTATATAAAAGGCCATTAATTAACAAGAAAAACATATCTAATTTCATACCATAAACTACTTATTCACTGTAATTTTAAAACATTCAACTTTTATAAAGATCAAATTGATATCACTACTAATGAAGGCTAAATTGATATCACAATTACTCATATGAGCTAACAAAAGGGTTAGAAGTCAAGCAACCAAGTACCAACCTGTAATTGAAAATTAATATAAAAAAAAAATGAGTTAACCAAACATCCGAAATGATCCAAATGTAGATTCCCAAAAAACACAAGGAAGAAAAATATTGAAGCATAAAACAAACCATGGATTAAATAGTGATCCAAAAAAACCAAATATAAAGTAGTAGTTCCATCATTAGTAGATACCGATCAATTATTGACTCTCGTATGAGTGATACAAGTATTACACAAACTACATGAGTAGATAAGCATACATGATGCATAGTATAACAAGGTAGAACAACATAAAGATAAACATTACAGTTGGGAACATTTATATCCTAATAGCTGATAATTCCACAATAGTCCCAATCTTAATCAACAATCGATTATGTTTTAAATTTCTAATTTTGTCAAATGTTCTTAAGTTAATACTACTCAAGGACATAGCACTTACTGCTCTAGATTCCAATAGAACCTCACATAATAAAATTACTTCTCCAGAAAACATAAATGATAGCTCTAGCAACTGACTGCATAGTATAAAGTGGTAATTTAAACAATTATGTATGTTTTCATCTTGCATGAAAAACAGAAGCATTCTAGAAAATAATTTCATCCTGCAAGAAAAATAGAAGCATTTTAGAAAAATAATTTCATCCAACAATTCACAGTAAAAAGAAAAATACGGAAAAGTAAAAAGCAAATGGAAAAATTGATTATAGATCCTCCATATATAATAATAGATCTAGTTGAAAATCCTCAATCATAGAATTAAACAGCCAGGCACAAATACATACAGACCTAGAAAAATCAAAACCAAAATTTACCCAAATTAAAGGCTGCAGAGTGCGGATGTACAAGCAGAGGGCTGCTAGAGGCAAGTACCTACAAATTCAAAACCAAATTTAGAAAAAAAAATGATTGAAAAAATTTGAAAAGAAACTTCAACCTATCAGATTGGGTTGAGCGTATGAAGGTGATCTACACTCTTTAACATTCATCCAAAAAGTTCTGTACTTCCCATGTCCATCTGCTCATTGCTTTTTTTGGTCGCCACAAGCAGTGACAAAAATCGAAGGCAAAGAAATAGTAGCAAATTAAAATTAAAGTTTCACGTTATGTGGATCTGGTTAAAACTGGGTGTCTAAGCTTGGCAACCAAATAACCGATTGAAGAAGAAAATCCAAAAGAAAATTAAAGAAATGTAGGGAAACAAATAAGTACCTTATTGTCACCTGAAGAACTCGATAGAAAACCGAATCTCTCTTTCCCTAATTTGGGTCTTGCTATGTCAGAGAGAGGAGAGAGTTAGAGAACGAGCAGCAGATGATACTGAGAGAGCAACCGAGAAAGGAAGACGAAGGAGAGTGGTTGTTGCAGTCGCTGGCAACCACCAGTGGTTGGTCGTCGGAGTTGGGGTGAAAGAGTAAGCAAAGGGGAGCTGAAGACAACCGGAATGGGTGAGAACTGAGTGAAATAGGTTTTACAATTTGGGGTTTTGATATTATTTCTTCGGTATATTTTTATTTTTTATTTTAATACTATATGTGACGATGGGCATAACATGGCCTTCTCTTTTGCTATGTGTTCAAATTTAAAGATTCGTCACATATTAACATTTCATTCGGCAGTAAAATTACCCGCCCAATAGTTTGTGATGAATTCAAAAGTTTATGTGATGCAAAGTATTTTGGTGTCCAATGAAAATTATTATGTGATGATTTCTAAAAAAAGCATCATTTATTTTACCCAAATGCGAAAAAATTTCGTCACCTAATCCATCTTTTCTTATAGTCTCTTGTTTTCGTTTCTAGAAGGGCACGGTTTATGTCCCTCTTCTTTTTCATGTATTGTTTTTGTTATCTCTGTTTTATGAGGGGTAATGTTTATGTCCCCCCTGATCACATGTAACTTCTTTTTTCGTTATCAATAAAATTTCCCTCATACCGTCAAGGTTCTAAAAAAAAAAAAAAAAAAAAAAGAGTTGAAACTAGTCATGCAATATGACAAGAATGGGATTCGAGCCTCAAAAAGTTTATGGGAATATAACAATATTCCGCCATTGAAATCGACCCTGACACTAGTATATTCCTGCATTATCCACTAAGCATATGGGCATGCTCACAACTATAAAAGGAGGTCATTGAAAAGTTGATCATCAAAAAGCACAAGTATTGATAGATCCTATTGTGGATGATCTTGTAATAATCATTTATACTACAATATCTTCGTTAAGGAGGACACAAATTCGAATGCTTGTCCCGATTGGTCGAGAACAATTACCAATTAATTATTTCTTAATGATACTTTTCTTCTCATTATCAGAAGAGTTTCAAAATATATATGAATCCCGGCCTTTCTTCCCAATGAAAATAAATTTACTAAACAAGCTGTGGGTTTCTTATTGATAAAAACAAGATTCTAATTATGTGTTCAAATCAACTCTATCATGTATAGAATTTATTCCAGATTAACTCTTTAGAACACTGATCAATTTAGTTGAAACTAGTCATGCAATATGACAAGAATGGGATTCGATCCTCAAAAAGTTTATAGGAATATAAAAGGATACCTCCATTGAAATCGACCCTGACACTAATATATTCCTGCATATCCACTACGCATATGGGCATGCTCACTATCATATCCACTAAGCATATTCCTGCATATCCACTAAGCATATTTTTCTTCTCACTATCAAAAGAATTTCAAAATATATATGAATCCGGCCTTACTTCCAAATGAAAACAAATTTACTAAACAAGCTGTGGGTTACTTACTGATAAAAACAAGATTCTAATTATATGTTCAAATCAACTTTATCATGTATAGAATTTACTCCAGATTAATTCTTTAGAACACTGACCAATTTAGATGAAACTAGTCATGCAATATACCAAAAATGGGTTCGATCCTCAAAAAGTTTATAGGAATATATTAGACGAGCTTACGTAACATGGTTTACGTATGCAATTGAGTCGTGTGTGTGTGTGTGTGTGTGTGTGTATAAAACCAAGTAGTTAAATTAAAGATTACATATCCTCAAGCCCAAGACTATAATACTGTTCTAGGTGTATATATAACAAGATTCCTGCATTGAAATCGACCCTGACACTATAATATATTCCTGCATTATCCACTAAGCATATGGGCATGCTCACAACTATAAAGGAGGTCATTGATCAGTTGGTCATCGAAACGCACAAATATTGATAGATCCTATTGTGGAGAATGAACTTGGAGGAACTATTTATACTACAATATCCTTGTCGGGAGGACCCAAATTCAAATGCTTATGAAGATTGGTCCAGAACAATTACCAACTAATTTTTTCTTAATGATATTTTTCTTCTCACTATCAAAAGAGTTTCAAAATATATATGAATCCCGGCCTTTCTTCCCAATGAAAATAAATTTACTAAACAAGCTGTGGCTTTCTTATTGATAAAAACAAGATTCTAATTATGTGTTCAAATCAACTTTATCATGTATAGAATTTATTCCAGATTAACTCTTTAGAACACTGATCAATTTAGTTGAAACTAGTCATGCAATATGACAAGAATGGGATTCGATCCTCAAAAAGTTTATAGGAATATAAAAGGATACCTCCATTGAAATCGACCCTGACACTAATATATTCCTGCATATCCACTAAGCATATGGGCATGCTCACAACTATAAAAGGAGGTCATTGATAAGTTGATCATCAAAACGCACAAATATTGATAGATCCTATTTAACATAAGTGAGAGACAATGATGAGTGAACAACTGAAAATTCAGGTGACAGAATCTGTCGGTGAAGTTGGTGGAGGTGGTGGAGGTGGAGGTGGAGGTGGAGGTGCAGGTGGAGGTGGAGGTGGTGGAGGTGGTGGAGGTGGAGGTGGAGGTGGAGGTGGAGGTGGTGGAGGTGGAGGTCGCCGTGGCTGTGGTTATGGCGGTGACGATGATATCCTGCTGGTGATGAAGCTTTCCATTAAAGGTGAAGGATTTTCAGGAGGCAAGGACTACTGAATAGAGAGGAGCTCTCATGCCTGCAGTTAAACAGGGCCAATTAAATAATTGTCTAAGAGCTGATCCAAAACAAGGCCAATGATATAATTGTCTAGAATATGTTTAATGTTACTCTATATTGGTGTGTCTAAATAAATGACGTTCTCTATTATGATCTTCCCATTTACACTAAAAGATGTTTGGTAAAAAACATTTATATATTGTACCACGTATTTGATAAAAATGAGACCTACTTATATTGGTAGGTTATACATCTCACTAGTAGAAATTTTGACTTCACTGACAAAAGTAGTTTGTCAGCAAAAGTCAAAATTTGTTGGCAAAGTGTCTTTCCCGATGAAAAAATTTGTCGACAATTTTGTCGCGCAAAGCATGTCGCCTAAGAGTTTTGCTAACGAATTTTGGTACTTCGTCGGCTAAGATTCAACTTTTACCGTCAAAATCCTTTTTGTCGGCATTTCCATTTTTCCAGACAAATATTTTCGTCGGTACAGGTCTGTTTAGCCGACAAATAATACTTTTCAACGTACAAAATGTGTTTGTCGCCATGGATATTTTGTCGGCACAAAAATTCTCTCTGCTGACAAATTGGTTATATATGTGTGTGTGTGTGTACAAGAAGACATTTAATATATAAAAAAAATACTTTAATGCTCAGGTTTTACATTTGCATATCAAAATATAATACCCAATTGTTAAGAAGTAATATTTTATTGATTGATAAATGTTGAATGTACATCCAGAGTGCTATACAAAAGCATCGTTAGTGAAATCATAAAACAATTGAAGAAGGAATGTTACACATGAACCAACTAAAAAAATATCAAAAGTCGCTCACTGAAACTGCTCACACAAAAGCTCCCACCTCAGGCGAACCAAACTCTCATGTTACTCAAACTTGAACTCCCTGCATCGACTAGCCATGAATCTGTTGAGGTAGTCATAGTTTTCGTAAACAGTTGGATTGAAATAATGATTAGAAGATCTCAAATGTGCTAAATATCAATAAAGAACATCACCTCCATGAGAATGATAGAGATAGTAAAAAAACATACTCGAAGCTTCTCAGAGTCTAACTCCTAAAATTACAATCTTTATTTCCACGCAAGAAAAGGAGCATTCCCAGCTTTAGATCAAATTACCTTCAAAAGTTCAATAATAACACCACATATGCAAACTCAAACATTTAAAAAGATTATATTACGAGTGCAATTATATATTTCTCGTTTAATATTAGCAATATCAGAAATGTGAACATGTGTCATCATGCAAGAGGTGGCTTACGGAAGAGCTTCAATTGCGACCTTAAACCTTGGACAATATAGCACAACAGCAGAAAAATAGGGAAGAGTTGCATTAACACTCTAGTAGAACAACAAAAAATGAAAACTTAACATCATATTAGTATCAAGCATATAGTAAGTTTGATTAAGCATCCAACATTTATCATACATATATTCTTAGAGGCCAGGACAATGGTTCATCCAAACCTTGTAATGAACATTTCAAACCACCTGCCAATTGAGAGGTTTTCTTTAGTCCCTTAATAAGATGCAAATCAAAATGAATGAAAAGAGGTACAATAAGTTACACAATAGTAATTAGTAGCGGTTCAAATCTGGGATTAATTAGTATTCAAATCTTTGATTAATTAGTAGCCCTCAAGTACTGAGAGGTTCTCTTTTAGTCTCTTATGTAATAGCTGACTAAAGTACTTACTTAGTTATTTTCATCCAATCGAGGTATATCAAACATCTGATTTAAAAACCACAAACTACAGAGCTTTATTAGAGTTTACACAATCATGAAAACTCTAACAAAGAGGATTCTTTCAACAAAACATATAGTGTCAATGTGTTTGGGCCCAAAATAATATTATTGGGCCGAACGTAGGTTTATATTCGGCCCAAAGCTTTTCCAAATGTACTATGGGCTGTCTAGTGGTCATAAGCCACTCAGTTAGAGCGGTCGAGTCCTATTGCAAGAAGGAGTGATTTGGATAAGAGCGAATGGGTTGAAGTCCTAATATGATAAGGAGTCTCAATGGAGTGAGGACGTTGAGATTTGAGAAGTGAAGGTGGCCGGATAAAGAGTTTGGTTCAAAGTCCTAGTAAGAGTAGGATTGGCCAAGCCCTGGTAGGACTAGGACGAAGAATCCTAATTCGAGTATAGTTCTGATTCGGCCAAGATGAGATTGGCTGCTATAAATAGGAAGGGATGCGTCATTTAAAGGCCCTTCCAATTCAACACACAAATTGCCCTGCGCAAACCTCTCAAACATCTTGAGATTTTTTTCATTTTCTTTTTCCGCCAACACACCTTCAGTTTGGATAAACAACACTGTGAAGGCAACCAACGAACATCTTCAATTTGGATAAACAGCATTGTTGCCGTAGAATCAATACACCGAGGAGCACATTCAGTTTGGATAAACAGCACTGCGTCGAGGCCGACTGGTTACCTATCCAAGTCTCGGTTGAGAAGGGCTTCCGAATCCTTAGTGGCAGAGATCATCTTATTAGCCATCTCGGCGAAGTAAGGTGTTACAAGTTACTACATTTGGCACATTGAACGCCGAGTGATTTTATGATTGGATACTCATAAGTGAGTTTCAGAGTTCCGTAGTGGCAGAGGTCATCTTATTAGCCTTCTCGGTGAATTAAGGTGTTACAAGTTACTACATTCGGCACATTGAACGCCAAGTGATTTTATGATTGGATACTCACAAGTGAGTTTCAGAGTTCGGTATTTTGACGGCCGGACCACATTTACCATCAAGACATACATCTCTTTTGAGTACCTGTGTCCGTATAATTTGGAGCTAGTTCGACGTGCTTATACTTTTACGAATATAATCACCGTGACCGAACGCGGGGCCGACGATTCGTGAATTTCATAGAACTAGCAGCCTTGTCTTCAGGCTCAAGAACCTGAAGGCCGAGACGTGTTCCTTCCTCGGTCGCAGTTGCAAGATCAAGAAGTCAATAGCACGTTCAACGCAACATCAACAAATTTTATTCCTTGGCCGAGCTCGGCTGACAAGTTGACATGCCCTGCATCAATCGAATGACGTAGTTAGCTCATTAGTTACTTGGCCTGCGCACCACATAGGCTTGGTAGTTTTTAGGGTCAAGACAATGTAAAATCTTAATTAAGATTAAGAGATGACTATTGTCATACAACAACTGTTTTCAGCATAAGAACTCCAGGTACAAGTCTCGCATTTTCTGTGTTGACATTGAATCCAAATCCAATTGCATTTCAGGAAGGTTTCTTTGCTCTAACTCACTTCAGAAAACACAAATATCACCAAATGAAAAGTACCATTAACATCAGTGCTAACAAACACGACCAAATAAAAAATATGAAGGCATTTTCTAACCTTGTTTGACAACCTATTCAATTCCCTTCAACTGGTACTTTTGAAAAATTACAAGAACCAAGCATTGACCCTGCACCATAAAAATCCTTCAAACATGCCCAAATTAAACCATTACAAGAACCAAGCATTGGCTCAAAATTTGTCGGCAAAATTAGATTTTCTAGTAGTGTTGCGTATATAGATTCTGTGAATAAGCAGAGAAAAACATCATGATACTTAAAATAAAATAAAAAACCAAATCTGCATAATACATTCATGTATACGGTAATGTGGTGATTAATATAAAGGCGAGGGGTAAAATTGATGAACTGGAAATGCGTCAACAAGTGGTTGCAATGAAAATTCCAAAGTTTACATGCGTGGAAAGTTTTCTCAACTTATTTGTACATCAAAACAACGGTCTTCTTCTTGCGTTGGTTTGTAGCGACTGGAGACGAAATTGGGATCTATAGAATTTGACAAGGATAATACTTGGGTACTCACTTGGGAGTACCCAAATTACTAACCAAATGACATAAATTAATAAGAATTTAACACGTGTAATTTTTTTTTTTCAAAAAAGAACCAAACATTGTTCACACTTAGAAGCCCAAAGATTAACGGCGCATTCTCCCAATTATGTAGGACCCCAATTGTCCTTCTCCCTCCCGCTCACACTACATCTCCCTCTCTCTCACTCTTTCTCAGACCACCATCCACCCAGATCAGCGATGGCGAAATCCGAGCAATGACGACCAACGACAAAATTGAATAGAAAAGCCAAATGATCTTGAAAAACAAGGAATCGGGTATGTTTTCTTACTTTTTCTCCATTCTCAATTTTTATGTTCAATTTTTTTTATGCGAGCATGGTTTTCTCTTATTAGGGTGTGCTCTTGTCATTGTTAATTTTGTTCGAAATATTAAAAAATTCAATTCAATTTTTTTCAGTTCTCCATTTTCTTTTCAATTCCAATGGAACTGAAGGATCAATTCTCTGATGTATTATTTGATGGCATGTTTTATGTCTGTATAATTTGAATTTGTATTTGAAATTTTTCATTTTGGTCTGAAAATTGTGATAGTAGGCTATTTTCGACCCTTTTGTTATTGTTATTGGTGTTGGTATATCAGGCATTGCAGCTGCACGAATTCTGGGTTTTTTGGGTTTTTATTTTTTATTTTTTTTATTTTTTTTATAGTTTTGAGTATGTTTTTTTTTTTTTTTTTTTTCTTTTTTTTTTTGTGTTTGAATACAAGTTGGTTGAAGAGCTGCATAAAGGGCAGCCACAAGGGCAAAGCCATACAAAGCAAAGTTTCCAACATCGTGATGTCAACCATTTTGCATATGTGAGTATTAGATTCCTTTTTCCATTTCCATGCCCCTTGATTGGTTTTACAATTTGGTCACTTTTTTAAGATGTATAGTGTTCCATTTTTTCTGGGAGTTGTTAAGATTCTAGTAATCAACTTGTTCCATTTAGTGACGCCTATAAAATGAAAGTTACTGTGTTCATATGTTTTCCAAAATATCTCAAATCTCATAATCTGTGGGTCATTTGTGTGCAGGATGTTCATTAAGAGGACAAGGAATTGAGAGAAAAGCTCCCCCTGGTTATCACTTATGCGTCTCAAATGCATAGAGTTGAAGGAGTTGAAGTCTCTATCTAATATAAACAATGTCTTTGTATATGCTGATGCCTATGGTCTAATATGGACATAGATTGTTTCTCAAATTGGTATGATAGGGTAAAATAGTACGTGAGATTCGTCTTAGTTTCGTCTATAATTTTGGGTTGGAATCTATAAATCCGTAATGAGTAAGAGACTTTTGTTTTGTATATGTATGTTTTGATAGCCTCTTTCAAATTCTCTCTATAAGTCAAACACAGTTTAATACCTTATGCATTGTCAAGGAAAACGTTTTTGTTTTCATGTACATCTGAAAGTGTCTTTCTCCTTTATTTAGTTTTACTTAATTGGGGCATTGTCATTTGTGTATGTGGTCAGAGTGTATGTATATTGATGCAGAGTTACATTGAGACACCTACAAAGGAATACATGACAAAATCAACATATGAAACCAGTTTGGCGTTTAGTGAAAGGAAATTGTGTCCTTTGATGAACAAATACCAAAGTAGCAATAACAATCTCCAAAATTATCACCAAACTAGCACTTGACTTGTGACATCCCTTTAGTCACACTTGTTTAATACAGTACAAGTTCAACAAAATGATTACAACATCTTCTCCAATTCAACAGAAATTGCCTCCATGGTCTTTATCTTCTCATTTTCCAAGCCCCTTGTTTGCACTGTTACTTTGTGAAAGGTCATGATGGTGCTTCATAACTTCCAATAAATTACCAAGCAAATTATATTATATAAAATCATTCATAAAAACAATAAGGTAATACTTCTTAGGTTATACTAAGAAGTATAAGGGGAATATAACAATATTCCGCCATTGAAATCGACCCTGACACTAGTATATTCCTGCATTATCCACTAAGCATATGGGCATGCTCACAACTATAAAAGGAGGTCATTGAAAAGTTGATCATCAAAAAGCACAAGTATTGATAGATACTATTGTGGACGATCTTGTAAGAATCATTTATACTACAATATCTTTGTTAGAGAGGACCCAAATTCGAATGCTTGTCCCGATTGGTCGAGAACAATTACCAATTAATTATTTCTTAATGATACTTTTCTTCTCATTATCAGAAGAGTTTCAAAATATATATGAATCCCGGCCACTAGTAAAAAAAACACTTTGCACGACGTACGTACATTCGTCGCGCAAATTCAAAAATCGTTGCCTAAGGGTTTGCGCGACGCAACCTTCGTCGCGCGCTAACCGTCGCGCCAAGGCAGTGACGGTAGGGGTTGCGCGACGAAGAAATAACATGCGTCACGCAAAGTGGCTTTGCGCGACGCATGGCCTATGTCGTGCAAAGCCACTTTGCGCGACGCACAGCCTACATCGTGCAAAGCCACTTTGCGCGACGTGCGTCCTACGTCGTGCAAAGCCTCTTTGCGTGACATGCGTGCGTCGCACAAAGTAGCTTAGTGGCTTTGCCCCGCTTTGGGTGACGTAGGGACATGCGTCGCACAAAGCCACTTTGTGCGACGTAGCTTACTTCTTCGTCGCGCAAACCCTTTTTTTTTTTTTTTGGCAAAAATATTTTTTATTTACTTTTTAATAAATATTGTAATTAAATTCTAAATAATAATTAATAAACCAAGAAAAAGTATTTAATTATAAAATATATGAAAATGTACATACAAGATGTCCGAACAAAAATAGAAAAAACTACAATAACTATCTTCTAGGTTTGATACATCAAGTTACTGGGTATCGGCTGGGCAAAAAGTGGCTAGGAGGTCAAAGATGGAGCAAGATCAAGTGATGGCATCGGGATTTGAAGACTGGACATCGAGATTTTGCTTCATAGTTAGCCTGCTCAGCTCCAAGGCATCAAGTAACTGCAAGAAATTGTGAAGATCAAATATCCTACACAACAATGCTTATTATATGAAAAGAAAGATAACTACTTTTTCCATCAACTCCACCATTTACCCTTATCTGATCCTCAAAATAAATGAGACCGGCAAGAGTACTATCAATGCCAACATATACTTAGTTTTTCAACATATCCTACACAACAATGCTTATTATATGAAAAGAAAGATAACTACTTTTTCCATCAACTCCATGCCTGCATATATTTAGTTTTTCAATGGGACCTCAATACATGATCCAAGATTAAATTATTTGTCATATTAAGAAGGAAAAAAAAAAAAAAACAAAAGATATCTTATTTGGAAGATGAAAACAACTAAGCCTTAAATCTTTCATCTTTTCAAACTTGCACAATTGAAAGAAATTTCATATTTATGTGCCCTGTGTGTGTAAGACAGAGAAAGAGAGAGAGAGAGAGAGAGAGAGAGAGAGAGAGAGAGAGAGAGAGAGAGAGAGAGAGAGTACCGTGAGATGAAGTCGAAGTTGGGAGAGTAGTGAAGGGTTTCTACACATCAGCCAGAGAGATGGCGAAAGAGAGTTGCAGATCCGCGAAAGAGATGGCGAATATGTGTGATTTAGGTTTCGATTTTGTAAGAACAATGATTATAATTAAAGGGTAACACGCTACCAAAACCTATAGGTAAGAAACTCACTGATTGAGCTATCAAAAAACAAAACAAAACTGACCCACATGAAAAAAAATGATACTTAGACCAATAACCTCCATTAGTTCAAAATCTATTAAAAAAAATCTATGCATATATAACACATTTTGGTATCAAATACCAGCAGCACAATTGGGTTTCTTTTTATTTTCTCTTTGTTGGCAGAAGTCTAAAAGCGATATTGACTAGAGCATATAGCAAACACAATTATTATTTTCAAAACTGATTCCTGATGGGGGTGGACCTCCTTAGTGAAATGGAAGCCCCACTCTAATTATACGAAGGCGACCCATTTGCACTAATGATAAGACTAAAGCAAGTTGTAATTAATTTGAAACCCATCCTAAACTCAAACCCTAAGATTATCTAGCAACTGAAATTAAGTGAGATTCAAAGACAGAATCAAATACAGAATTTTTGTAATGTTATTTACAACTTGAACTACAATCCTTTTGTATTTCACGATTTATCCTAATGTGTGCTAGGAAATGCTAACAATCTTAAGATTCCTCTTCCTGTCACATTCAAAAAGGTCATTTCTCCTAACTTTTGTATGTACAAGTATTTCATTGTTACATGTTATACCAAGTCAAATAATTAATTAAACTTAACCAGATGAAAGAAATATCTCTTTTAATCAACAGAGGTGAGAACTCGAATTGAAAAGTTGTTTTCAATTGTAATAGAGATTATTACTAAACCAATACCTAATTAGTTATAATATGAAAAACAAAACATCGGAGCGGGAGAAATTACAAACGTATCTAACAAAGAAAGAGAAAGATGGAGCCTTCACAAGGGTTGTGTACGTGAGGCCCCACTACGTGGCAACACTCTCGGAGCAAGAGGCATCGGAGCAGGAGGCATCGGAGCAGAAGGCATCGGAGCGAGAGGCATAGGAGCGGGAGGCACCGAAGATAGATCATTCAAGGCCCCAATCCTTGGTGGAACGCTGGATGACCCAGGAAAAAGGTGCCTCTGGAAGAAAGCTGCAAGCCTTTGACGGTCATCAAGCTCATCAAGCTTCCTCTTCATGCCTGTCGAATAATTGTTGGCAAGCACGTGCAAACTTCGGTTCTCGTACTTAAGCTGTTTGATCTCCTGCTTAAGACTCTCCACCTCCGCCATCAAGGATTCAACCTGACGGGAGCGAGCAAGAAGGCGTTGGCCCATGTTGGACACAGAGCCAGCGCACTGAACGCTAAGAGCCAAGGACTCTTGAACGGCCAACTCATCGGACCGTCCTGAAAGCAACTGACTATCTTTGGGAGTGAGGAGGTTCCGAGCTACTATCATAGCCGTTGTTGCATCTGTCATCACAGAGTCCTCATCTGTAAGAGGGCCATGAGAAGATAAGAAAGACGGGCACCATACCTTATCTTGACGCGGCGCAACCGGATCATTGCTTAGACTCAAATCTAAGCAAATGTTCGATGGGTTAGATGAGCTAGCCATTTTTCAAGAAGTTAAAAGAGAAGGGTTGGATGGAGTGAAATCTCGACGGGCCGGAGACGATTTCTGGGCAATTTTCAAGTGTGCATGCTAGAGGTGATCGATCACCTCTATTAAAGGAGAGGTGTTCACCGATTCAGAAATGAAGAGACACCACTCTTCAAAACCGGAATTTCCGGCGTAAAGATCGCCAGCTCGTCAGACGCAATCCCGGCTTTTCAGAAGCTCCCAGCTTTTCAGAAGACGCGTGGAATGCGAGAAATCAGCTGCACACTTTTGCCGACAAGCGTGGGAGACAAAGCCGAAAGCTCCCGGCTTTTCAGAAAGCGTGTGCCACTTTGTCGAAAGCTCCCGGCTTTTCAAAAAACGCGTGCCATTTTGTCAAAAGCTCTCTGACAAAGCTGAAGACGCGTGGAGGTAATTTCCGCATCCGCATTGCCACTTGCCATTACAATTCCTATATACATCAACATTCATGGCAAGGCATACACCCAGAAGCGCATGACTTTCCTTCTCGGCCGAGAATGTAAATGCAACCAACCCTCTCAAACATGCTCAGTTTTCTCCTTCTCTTGAGAACACACTTTCAACCATGGATGTATCCCCCAAAGAAGATACCAAATGCCTGGAGTACAAAGGAGGCAAGAGGAAACGGTGGATCGAAGCATGTGGATTCATTCGCTGCCTCTTCGAAAGCAAAGGTATCTCATATCATCAAGGGCGAAAGCAAAGGTATCTCATATCATGCTCTTTCCCTGTCTTTTCCTTTGTCCTTGATATTACCTGCATGGCAAAGTGAAAGAAGCAATCAGCCGGCACTTGGAGTCTATCTGGACTCTATTCCCTGGTTGCTTACCTAGCGTTGCTCTTGAGTAGTCATCTTCAACGGTTGATACACTTCCAGAGAAGGGACCACTTCTGCAAAGGGGAGCAAGTAAGGCAAAGGAAAAAGATACATTGAAGCATGAGGAGACAAACGGCCTTTGCGCGACAATACCTTGCGCGACGAAGCTATGCGTCGCGCAAAGCGGGTTTGCGCGCCAAATCTTGCACGACGTTTGGCACTTTGCGCGACGATCCAACCATCAAACTAATTTCAACGATCCAACCATCAAACTTGTTTGTATATACTTCAAGATCTCATATGCCAACAATCACAACAAACAAACATTTAGAGATCAAGTAACGGGACAAAACTTTTCGACGATTATAAACGAAAAATCACGATTTAACGGTTATTTTAACTCCGACTTTGATGATTTTTTACAGCTACACTCCTTAACCCTATATGAATACAATGAAGTAATTCGATCGTCCATTTAAAACATTTACACAAGTGGACACCTTATATTATACTTGATGGAAGTATAAATAAACTCTAAGTGTTAATGAATCTATTGTTTTGATGCGATATGCATTCTACGAAACTAGTTTCAACGATCCAACCATCAAACTTGTTTGTATATGCTTCGAGATCGCATATGCCAAAAATCACAAAAAACAAATATTCAGAAATCAAGTAACGTGACAAAACTTTTCGACGGTTATAAACGAAAAAGTACTATTTAACGGTAGTTGTAACTCCGATTTTGATGATTTTTTAGAGCTACACTCTTTAACCCTATATGAATACAATGAAGTAATTCGATCGTCAATTTAAAACATTTACACAAGTAGATACCACAAAAGAAAAAGCAATACAAGAACCCAAAAGAAAAGCCAAAAAAAAAAACAAAAAAAATCACTTTGCGCGACGTGGGTACACCTGCGTCGCGCCAAACAGATTTGCGCGACGCAGGTGTACCCACGTCGCGCAAAGTGCGTTTTTTTTTTTTTTTTTTGGCTTTTCTTTTGTCCTTTTGTTTATGAGTACAAGATAAATAAATTAAAATATACTTTCTAAATATATATACCATTGAACTTGATGGGAAACACATTCTATGAAACTAGTTTCAACGATCAAACCGTCAAATGTTTGTATATACTTCGAGATCGCGTACGCCAAAAAATCTCAAAAAACAAACATTCAGAGATCAAGTAACGGGATAAAACTTTTCGACGGTTATAAACAAAAAAGCACGATTTAACGATAGTTTTAACTCTGATTTTGATGATTTTTTAGAGCTAAAGTTGGGGAAAAAAGCGGTAAAACATTCTTGGCTTGGCGTCAATATCTTGCGCGACGTAGCCGAAGTCGCGCAAAGTAGCTTTGCGCGACAACACTTTGCGCGACGAAGGAATGCGTCGCGCAAGGATGTTTTGTGCGACGTATGTGCACCTTCATCGCGCAAAATCGCGTTGCGCGACGCATTCCTTCGTCGCGCAAAGTGTTGTCGCGCAAAGATACTTTGCGCGACGTTTTGAATTTAACGTCGCGCAAACATGCTTTGCGCGACAAAATTTGCTGCGTCGCGCAAGTTTCCGTCGCGCAACAAGTGGTTGCAATGAAAATTCCAAAGTTTACATGCGTGGAAAGTTTTCTCAACTTATTTGTACATCAAAACAACGGTCTTCTTCTTGCGTTGGTTTGTAGCGACTGGAGACGAAATTGGGATCTATAGAATTTGACAAGGATAATACTTGGGTACTCACTTGGGAGTACCCAAATTACTAACCAAATGACATAAATTAATAAGAATTTAACACGTGTAATTTTTTTTTTTCAAAAAAGAACCAAACATTGTTCACACTTAGAAGCCCAAAGATTAACGGCGCATTCTCCCAATTATGTAGGACCCCAATTGTCCTTCTCCCTCCCGCTCACACTACATCTCCCTCTCTCTCACTCTTTCTCAGACCACCATCCACCCAGATCAGCGATGGCGAAATCCGAGCAATGACGACCAACGACAAAATTGAATAGAAAAGCCAAATGATCTTGAAAAACAAGGAATCGGGTATGTTTTCTTACTTTTTCTCCATTCTCAATTTTTATGTTCAATTTTTTTTATGCGAGCATGGTTTTCTCTTATTAGGATTTGCTCTTGTCATTGTTAATTTTGTTCGAAATATTAAAAAGTTCAATTCAATTTTTTTCAGTTCTCCATTTTCTTTTCAATTCCAATGGAACTGAAGGATCAATTCTCTGATGTATTATTTGATGGCATGTTTTATGTCTGTATAATTTGAATTTGTATTTGAAATTTTTCCTTTTGGTCTGAAAATTGTGATAGTATTTTTATTTTTTATTTTTTTTATTTTTTTTTATAGTTTTGAGTATGTTTTCTTTTTTTTTTCTTTTTTTTTTTGTGGTTGAATACAAGTTGGTTGAAGAGCTGCATAAAG